TATAGTTTGTCCCCGTGAGAATTCCCTGAGGCTAATTCTGCAGTGCAGTGGTATAAGTGATTGGGCCTTTAAGAGGTGACTGGGGCCAGAGATTTAGCTCAGTGGTTCTGCCGCCTGCCTCACAAGCACAAGGACCCAAGTTCAATCCCAGGTACAAAAAAAAAAAGAGGTGATGAGGTCACAAAGAGGGATCGATGCCTTTCTTGTTCTCACAAGAACGGATTAGCTTTTGTCAGGTGGATTGCTAGAAAGTGTGGCAACCCCACGTGCTTGGGTCCTTCCTCCTTCTACCTCTGTCACGAGCTGATGGAGCCAGGTGGCCCTCACTGGAAGCCAAGCAGATGCCATACCTTGAACTTCCCTGCATGCACAGCTACGAGCTAATTAAATGTCTTTAGAACTTACTCAGCCTCAGGTGTTTTGTTACCTAACACAAAACAGACCAAGACAGGGATCAGCCTAGACCAGTGATGGTGAACTTTTTAGAGCTTTCAAAGATACCAGCCAACTATGGCACACGTGCCATACGCTTGCCACCACTGGCCTAGACAATATCCCTTCCCAAAAATGCAGAGAGAAGAGACTGACAAGCCACCATCTTTTAAATGCACTCGTTTATTTGCTCATCACCTTGTTTCAAAAATGCTCCAGTGTATAACAAAGACACCACCACTTCTGGGGAAGGGGTTACAGGGAACGCAGGAACACCAGATTCTCTAGAAGGTTCTTAGAGCTCAAGTGGCCTATAAGCACTGACCTTCACCCACTTCTTGTGAAGAAGAGGCCATGGTAGGTGGAGGGAGGGCGGTCACAAAGGGCAAGGCAAAGCCGGAGCCTGCAGGAGGGCAAGCCTCAGATAGCACCAAGATCTCAGCAGCAGGATCCCATCTCCAGGTGTCTGCTCTTGGGAAAGGCTGGGTCCTGGTCTTTGCAATTCAACTGCCCCACAGTTCCAGATCTTGGAAGAGGGCCTAACTGTCTTGGGTATATGCCCACTCACTGGTAGAGCTCTTTGCCAGTAGCCTTCCCCAGACTATGTTGAACAGAAAAGGGCAGTTGTCCTAATGCAAATTACATGAAGGGCAAATGGAGGCTGAGCAGACCTGATCTTGTGTCCACTACCACACGCCTATCTCTTATGAAAACAGGAAAACACTAGAGACCACGGTGGCTCAGTGACTGTCCTGGGGCCAAAATTCCCAGTCTGATCCAGAATCTGGGATGAGATGTCCCCACAGTAACATTCACCTGCCCTGAGTATGTCTGACTTTGGCCTGCATCCCTTCCCTCAGGGGTGTTCTCTAGCTTTATTCTCAAGACAGTCACTGTAGCTTAGGGAGTCTCTGACCCTACTGAAGGGTTCTGCTCCTGACAGCCCTATTGGGCATCTCTACCTCCATGTGCCCCGAAGTCTCATCCTGTGCCTCCCACATGCTAAGGCACTCAAGTTAGGTCTTGGAACTTAGGGGACACTGCCTCCAAAATGATGCTGCTGGCATGAGATGGCTTGCAAACCATGGGGCCAGTTACTGCTGACTGTTGGTCATAAGGATACAGGGTTCATGGGCCTTGGACTTCTCTGCCATCCTGGCAGGTGAGTGGTACTGGAGCACATCTTGGTGTGATGCTACAGAGGATGCAGTGGACACTTTCTGGGATCTGTTGTGGGCCCGCAACAAAGGCCACAGTGCTACGGCCACACTGTGCACACCACAGGCACATAAGCAATCAAAAGCACAAGTGGTAACAGAGCAGTGGTGGTGGTGATTGAGAACTGAAGGATGAGAAACAGGAAAGTAAAGGTGAAAGGACTCTGGTTTTACTGCAGCGGAAACTGAGGCTCAGAGAGCTGAAATGACCTCCACAGGGGTATAGTTCACAGGACTAGGAGCTAGCTAATACCAAAGGCATCCCTGAGTCTGCCGCCTTTCACAAGTCCTGGTCAAGGTCGCAGCTCTGCCACTGGCTCACTCCCTTCTCCAGTCTCCAAGTCCTCTGTGTCTCCTGCCGAGGGCTCATCCTCAGACCAAGCCCTGGTCTGGGGTGTCTAGCCCAACCGAACATGACCAGCACCTGATGTGACTGGCAGTTTGATTTGTAGAAATGCATTTACATCCTATATTCCCCAGAACCCCTGCCTCTCACCTGCATTTTCCCATTTTCTTTTCTGAGGTCCTGGAACCTAACAAGCCAGCAAGCACCTCTTGAGACAAAGCTCTTTCACACCCACTCGCTCATTTTTGATGTCCTTTCCTGTATCAGCAGATGGAGCTGGTGCCTTTAATCTTCTCCCTGCTATATTTGCAGTATGGAACCAAATCTTCACTTCTAACTGCCACCAGGGATTATCTTGTTTCCAGCTTTGTCAAAATGTTGCCAACAACTGTCACCCATAAAAAAAGTACACACTTAAAACTTGGGAAATAAGTTTCAGTAGGTTTTCAACCCATTTGTCAGCAACTGTAAAAATGTAACACTCATTATTCAGCAAGAACAGGTTACCAACAATGGAAACGATGGAAATTTATTATACTGATGATCAGACAAACACCTTGGCAAAAGTTGGTGGATGGAACTGAAAAATTCGTTCAGTAAGCACAGTCATTTGGATCCACAGATATCAAAGGAGTGGTTTTTTCCCATTAAAACCAAACATTAAAATAAACTTACCTTAAAACTGGAACACTGAGTTCTCTTCACAGTGTTAAAACTAGGAGTTTCAAAAATAACAAAGCATTTTTAATCATGCAGCTTTCACCAAAAGATAAAAATTTAGAAAAAACCAAGTTTTTAAAAATCACAACGCAACATTTTAAAACATTTTCACCTTACCCTTTTTCGTCTGTCTTATGTGCACTACTATGTGAGCATATATTCAAATTTAAACATTATTTTACAAATACACACACACACACACACACACACACACACACACACACACACTGGGGGCAAGGACATGATGGAGTGCACGGACCTCCTGAGGCAGGTGTTTATAGTATGTGTCTCACTCAATTCCTCTGTCCTTAGAAGAAACCTCTACAATCCCAAGAAAAAACTGTATTATCTTCTATTTCTAATAACATCCTTTTTAGTTTAATTCTTAGTCCAGCTGGGATTTCTTGGGTGAATGAGACTGTCGACATCAATTTAATTTTCTGCAGCGATAACCAGCCCCTTTCCCTGACTACCCCATCATGGCTAGAATTTTAAAAGCCACTTTTAACATATTCTAAATTCCTGAAAGTATGTGAATTCACTTTCCATTAATTTGTCTATGTTTACACCAGTGTAACTGTTAATTTAATTGTACCTTTAAAAATGTGATTGTTTTCATTTTTTGGTACATTTCCTTCTCCTTTGAATGAATATTTTCCCATTTTCATCTGTTTGTATGAGTTTTTCAATTATATTAAAAACAAATAGCCTTCTGGCTTTTGGACTGGTTTTGTATTGAGTTTCTGTATTAGCTCAAAGGAAACAGACATGTTTACAACAGTCAAAATGTCATTATCAAGTGTTAAGCTTCTGGACTCCTCTCTGTTCTCTTTCCCTCTACCACCGCTCCCATAAGAAAATCATTAATTCTCTTCCTTTCCTTTTTAGTTTTACTATTTGCACATGGATCCCTAAACAATACTGTTTTTCCCAGTCTGACCTTTCTGTCATGTTCACCCTGGCTCCACTGGCTTGCTTCCTTCCCTCAGTATGCTTCCTGAGGCTCGTCCACATGGACACTCAGCTGTATCCAATGCCCTTAGTGCTCTAAAGAATGCCCCTGTGCAAACCAACTTCATTTATCCATTGTGCTGCTACAGGCATTTGGCTCCCTAATTCCCTTCCTTTTCTTCCTTTTTTTTCCCATGCCAGAGACTGAACTCAGGATCATGAGCATGCTAGGCCAGTGCTCTACTACCAAGCTATATCCCCAGCTGCCCTGCTTCCTTTTGGTTGGGACTACTAAAGCTGTTTGTGATGAGAACATTCCTCCACATCTCCTGCGTCCATGAATGTGTGTCTTTCTACGTATTCAGAGTGGGCTATCCGAAGTGCCTGGTTCAGCTTCCCTAGGTGGTACTGACTTACAATGCTAACAACCGTAACAGATTACTATTGTCGTAATTTCTCCAATTGTTAGTATTTTCTGACTTTTTATAGTTTCTGCCAATTTGGTGGGTAGAAAATGGCATTTATGGTTTTAGTGTACATTTCCTGATTGCTAGATATCCTGTTTATGAGCCACTTGTTTCTCCCATGAAATGGCTGCCTGTGTTGGGTTCCATTTCTCCTGAGCTGTTTTCATCACAGATCTGCACTTCAGTGCTCTTTAACAGCGATGTGTATGTTGTGAATATCTGTATCTTATTCCCAACGGGCCAACTTTTCTGTCACTCAGAGGCTTATTTAGTAAACAAAAGTATTTACTATCAGTGTATAGCCAAATCATTTCTCTATTAATTGATGGTTTGCACTATCCTGTTCATGAAACCCTTCCTTATGCCAAAGCTGTTTTATCATTTTTAAAAAATTAGTACATGTTTGCAATAATGTTTACACCACTTGTGGGGATTTGGTACATGTACATAATGCATCTTGATTACTTGTTTTCATCCTTTTTCCTCCCCGCCTCCATCTCTTCCCATTAGAGAAAGGTTTCCCTACCTCCTATTATCTATCACCAAAGGAGTATTAAATGCTACATTTTACAGTAAATTTTATAATCCTATAGTGCTAGCTGTTCTCACACTTCATTCTTTTTTAGGACTGTCTTCAGTACCCTTGGCCCTGTGAACTTTCATTTGTATCTTAGGATCACCTTGTCTCATCTTGTCAAGACTGACAATAAAAACAACTGGATATGTTATTGGAATTTGGAGATAAATCTCTTAGGCAATTTGGAGAAAGAGTCCAAATCTTGATGAAATTGATACTCTTTACCCATCACACCTTATCCCTTTACTTAAGAGATCAATATGGCTTTGGTTTGTTTCTTTTTTAAATCATTTTCTCATAAGTATTATATACTTTTCATTAAGCTTTGTTGTTAGGTACTTTATATTTTTTTGTTCCTATTATGAGTTATATTTACATTTTTAAAATTTAAAGCCCATCACTGTATGTAGCTGGTCTATAAAAATGAAACTGACATTTGCATATTGATTTTGTCCCCAAAACTTTGATAAACTTTTTGTTGTTGCTGGTTTTTGAGACAGGGTCTCACTATGTAGTTCAGGTTAGACTTGAACTCACTATGTAGCCCAGGCTCGCCTCTAACTCACAGCGATCCTCCTCCCTCAGCCCTTTGAGTGCTGGGCTAACAGGTGTGTGCCACCAGCCGGGCCTCCTTGATAAACTCTTAATTTGTCTTGTAGACTCTCTAGATTTTCATAAACAATTTGCTTATAGAACTTTAATCCATTAATTAGTCACATTAATTGATTTTCTAATATTAAGCCAATCTTGCATCCCTTGAGATACAGCACATCCAATATGGTCATCATCTGTTATACTTTAAATACACTCTTAGATTTGGTTTGCAAACAATGCTTATTTTCCTGCTGAAGGGTGTAATGTATTTACACACACACACACCAAGTCAAGTTTATTATCTGTGCTATTTAACCTTCTAGTTCCTTAATAATTCTAGTAATTTGGTATTCTGCATGATCTATTAATTACTGAGGGAGGTATGCTGAAATGTTCATTAAGAAAAAGGCCAATAGAGGAAGTAAATTAAATACACATACAGAACTTATTCTGGTAGAAGTTTTGTACTATGTAAAAGAAAAAAATATGCTAGAAAGGAGGATGTTTAAATAGCATCCTATCCAGCTGAAAAGGAAACCTGTCAGGTGACTCAAATACAAAGATAAAGTCACTAAATTCTGCCAGACCTGGTTAACTAAAAGGTAAGATACCACCACAACAGGCTTAGGTTAAAACAACAAACAAAACAGGGCATTCTGAGAACAATGTTAGGAAGAAACTACAATTGTAAAATAAAAAACTTAGGAGGATTATTTCTAAATTCACGGTAGGAAAACACAAAGGGATATACAGAAAACATGGCCAATCCACACAAAAAATTTCCAAACCAAAGTTTTGCTTTAAGGCCCACAGTGTAAACAAGTTATATGAGTATGCAAGGGGGCATGGGTGAGAAACTACATATGTACCTATATGCATACTACATACATCCTACAGAGTATGTAAAACTTTCTATGTATAGTTATATGCACAGTTGTTTTTTATCACCATGCAGGGAGATCAAGACTGGCACTCACCCTGCCTGCAGGTGGTGAACTGTGGAGACAGATATGTGCTGAGTGTGGTTACCATTCAGGAGGCATTAGAATATATCTATACTATAACAAAGTTCCTGTGAACCGAGTATCAAGGCCAGAGACATCTGTGCAGTATTTACAACATAACATAACAAGGCCAAGAATCTCTGTACAAGATTTATTTCACAAACCACAATGTTAAGAGTGATACTATACACCCTAATAGAGGATTCAAAATCCACCACAGGTTAAAGGTCAGAGCCAAAGTCAGTGGCTACTTATCCCGTGCCAATCATTGTTTCATCCACCTTTTGGTTTTTCTTGGACTAATAACAGAGCTGCTGTACAGAACAACTGTTCTGAGCTTACCACACCTTCTGACCGACAAGCACCACCAGGGATGAGGCTTCATTTCTTCCTGCTTGCCTGGTTGTGCTGGTGGGTGGCAGAAACCTGTTGCCCACATATGACCTCCAGAATTATACATAAGCATTCCTGTTTCTAACCACGGCTCCCCACAACTTCATACTTGAATAATGTCTCCTGGATTCCATGGCTGTAATAGCAACAAATTGGACTAATGGGAGCAAGTAAACTGCCATCTGTTTAATAAAACACACCCTCCTAAGAGAATATACACAATCTTATTGCATTCAGTACATAGTTACAACGTTGAAATGGCATGTGAGAATACAAAATATTTATTTTTTCCAAACCACAGAATTAACCCCAGAGTCATCCTATAAATTTCCCAGAATTATAATCTATAAATATTTTCTAAATAATGCAGTCCAACCTAAGATGAAGATGATTTCCAACCAGCAGGAGTAAAATAATATACCAGGGCCCTGTAAGAATGGATCTCTTATCATTTTCTTAATTCTCCCACAGCCCCTCCATCAACATAAGCTGAAACAGTACATGGATTTGTTCCACTCAGCTTTGAAAGAGATTCCAAGTAGGGTGTCAAGACAGTGGAGGAGGCATCAATGAGGGGACAGAAGAATTATTTCCCTTGGAAAGGACTCCTGTCACATACTTTGGTGGCCAGAAAGTGAGGCCAATTGTAATAGGGCAATAATGGTTCACAGGACAGCCATTTCTCCACGAACTCTTCTTCTAAGCTCCATTTTGACTTCACTTTACACAATCTTACTGAAAACAATGATCACGAAAAGGTCTTGTAACCCTCTTACAGGTATCAATCAAGGGATTCACATTCTGACCTTGGATTTTAAAGTCCCATTAAGAGGTCTATACTTGGATTAAAGTAAACGTAACATCCAAACTAAAAGATCAGTGACACACACCATTAAAAAAATCAAGTCAAAACATCCAAACAATGACAAGATAGCTAATGCAGAATTTTTTTGTTTGCTTTTTAGTCTGTTCTTTCATATTTCAGATTAGTGTATATTCATAAAACAATGCTCAGTTAGCTTAGTAATAGCTGCTTATTAAGGAAGGGAACTTGACTTCAAGGGCAATGCCTCTCCCATGTAATCACAGAAATAATTATCTGCAATTAAGATGGGGGAACAATCAATAAAATATGGGCAGCCTCAATGAAACAAATTCTGGAAGGGTTATTTATTCTGATTACAGGATGCTGCAACAGGGTTATTTAAATACTATGATACAAATGCTCCTGCTCACTTTATAACCGCAGAAACCAATTTTGTTTGCTAGACCACCATTACCTTTGCTAGTAGACATACAGACCACTCTGAAGTTATCCTTTTGTGCTAAAAACCTTCAAATCCCTCATCTGGTCTGTACACAATATTGCAAGGTGATGCATGTGCAAACTCTTCCTGAGGAATTTTTCACATGTGCAAATTTGCAGCCTGAAAGCATAGCATACAGCAAGGGAAGTGGCAGCTGGACAGATCGGAGCACGCGAAACATGTGCACAGTGTTCACGGCCATGGGGATCCATTCCTCCACAATCTCATCTACCCACTAATTAGCGTCATCCTGATGAAAGGAAAAAACTTCTCTGCAAAGTTTAATAATGCTCAAGTCATAGGTCCAGGTTGGTGCTTCTTACTAGCCCTGCCTCAGAACTATTAGGACAGGAGTCACAACACCAGGTTTTGGTTTTTGTCCCTCCCCAAATGAAGGAGCAATAATTCCTGCCGAGTTAGGGTGTAGCTGTGACAACAGAGGTCATGGGATATGACACTGTTACAGAAGCTTGAGGCCAACCTTTAAAATATGCACCGTCTCTTAAAACAGTATTATCTATGTATTTCACATGCATTATATGAAGATGACTGACCTGGCTCCTGGGTTTCTTTCCAAAGGTCTAGTTTTTGGCTGCATGTTAGTACTAGCCACATCAACTGCATGTGTTGACTAATCAACTGGCATATAAAATACTCTGTCTCCAATGATTTCATACAAAAGCCAGTATTTAGCTGGGGTGGAAAAACCGTATACTGTCCTGGCAAGAATACAAATAAACGGGAGAGGAAAATACTTTCTGGCACATAGTAGTATTCTCAGTCAATAAAAAATGAGAGAGGGACAAATTTTATTTCCTCTCATGTTATAAGCTAAAAATCCTGTCAAGAATTTTGAGTAATAAGCAATGTCAATTTCAACTTACCGGAATACGTTTCACACTGCAATGTACCTCAAGGGGCCAAGATTTGTAATAACCAGGGCACGTGTACTGGGTGTATGTGTGCCCCTTCAGGGTACCTTCTGATAAAAGCTTTGGAGTACCAAGCCTGACCCACAGCTGGCTGTAGTCACTGTGCAAAACTTTTGAGAAACTAAATTTTACAGACCTTTCTTTGCCTACTTTTTTGTTGTTGTTGTTAATACACAATAATAAAAAGAATATAAAATATTTTCCATTAACTTAATAATCCAAAGGCATCCCAAAGGTTTTAATGCCAATTCACAGCATAATACAATGCTTTCTTATAGGGAAAATTCTGCTGTTGGCCAAAAAGACTGTTCTCTCCCAGAAAAAGCATTTGGGTATGTTATTAGGATACTGAAGAATCTGTCTATGTTTATAGAAATGTTCCAATTTTATTCCTTTCAGAAATATCATCAAAGCCACGCAGGAGACACTTCAGTCCCAAGTACTATTTATAAGTCCACAGTAAGCATTCCATTGAGCAAAGTAAAATCTGGGCTTCATAATAAAATGGAATTCTTCCTCAATACTAGAATGTCACTGGTATAAGTAGATCATGGAGCCTGTGTATGTTCTTAGAGTAATTTCGTATTCATCAATACAATACATGATGCTCAGGGTGAATGAGTCTAACTAAAGCCCTCCAAAACTCCATCAACTCTGGTTGCTAAGTACTTAAAAATGTATCTCACCTTTACTTTTACTCCACTGTATAATTTTACAAATCAAGGACTTCTATTAGATGACTTACTTGGTCTCACGATCCCACTTCTAAGGCCCATACCCATCACATTCCCCTAAAAGGACACACTGAATTGGCAGAGGCAGCTCTATGAAAAACCTGCAAATCAGCAGTGTGACAGCATCCCTGGGACGTCTTTCATTCTCTGAAGAAGTAACCATCACTAGCTCAATGGAGTGAAGCCTATGCTCAATTTACATTCAAGCAAAACAGAAGAAAAAGATTTTTTCCCTTGCCATATCTTTTGATTTTTCTTTGTCTTTTAAAAACAACTAGAATAAGCTTCAGAGACTTTTATGGAAAATTAAATAGCACTGTGGGTATAGTGAAACAGAAAATGTAGCTTTGTCACAGCTAGAAGCAAGCCTTAAAGCAGTAGTGTGACTTCCTCCCTATTCCACTGAAACATCTTGTACTGTTCAAGAGATGCAGAGTGCTGACTCTACTTTTTAAAGTACTTATCTCTTCCACTGAAATGAAACTGGATCAGGAAGTCCACACTACAGATCACATTTGGTTTTAGTAACTACAGCACTTCCTAGAGTGTCAGAGGAAGCTGCTCTTAACCCTGGACATTCCCCCAAAGTGTGAAACAGGGTAGTGCTGCAGTGCCACCCACCTGAAGTAGGGTACTACCCACACTACAGCGGCTGGTGCAATCAGGTGCAGTGACAGTGGAATGGAAATGCTACATGAGATTTGGTCCCCACATTAACATGAACATGCTCTGGTGCCACCGGGGGGATCTGACCAATGTGCAACACACTTCTACTTTCCGACTTAATTATAACATCCTGCCACAAAGACACACCTGACATTTTGGTGGGTTGGTTCAGGAGACCAGCAACTTCTCCAGGAAGCATTTGTAAGTTTGACAATACCATCACACAGTTGCAAAGTGCACAAAGCTCAAGGCACAGAGTAGGAAAAGGTTGTGAACTGATGGAGGAAAGGTTCTAATGAAAGCTGAGTTCATATTTTCCTTTAACCAGACATTCTAATGCTAAACAAAGACCATTTCTTATTTTAAAGGGGGCTGTTTGGGATATGGGTGAAAAATACTGTATTGTAACCATCTGCTTGGCTTTAAAAGCAAAAGGTATCTTGACATGTGAAATCAATGTGAAGTGCCAAGTCCACAAATAAACAAAACAAGTGCTTAAAAAAAAAAAAAGAAAGAAAGAAAAAAAAAGATTTCTTCTGCTCTTGTATTTTTGGAGGAAGCTGCTGATTTTGGCTCTCGGATTTCACTTATCAATGGTCACTTTCCAAGATGCTTGCTCCTCACAGAATCTGTAGATAAACCTCATTAAAAGATTGTCCCATGTTATAATCACCCCCAAGTCTAGCAGCAACTGTTTTTCTGTTTTTGTTTTTTGTTAGTTTTTTTAAAATTACAAACCCAAGTTAGAAGTCCAGCATCTTCTCCCGAAAACAGCCTTATGACAGAGCTCCTGAGTGCTGCAGGCCCTGCTGCGCTCTGAACACAGTCTCTGCAGCTCCAGTGTTTCCTCTTTTGGGGAGGAAAGTACATTCAACACATTCACTATCTGTATCCCCTGGAACTTGCACATGCGGAGGAGCTGTCTGAAAAAAATACCACAACAGGAAAAAGCATGAAGAGTAGACAGCACTTGAGAATGGAAAAAAAAATGTTTATTCCACATGTTTTTCTTACTCTTCTCCCAATCCCTCAAAAGAAGACTTATTTTTTGTAAAGGTGCATATCTCCAATGATGAATGTCATTATACTGTACACCTAAAATGTATCAATAAAAGGATATACAAAAAAAAAAAGATTTATTTTTAAAGCCTCTTAAAATCACATGGTTTAGGGAAGGAAAAAAAAATTAAGCTGTGTTATGTGCATGTACCAACTCCCCATGATGAATGTAATTATGTACTGCCTACATGTACTAATCAAAATGTTTTTAAAAACTCATGTGGTTTTGAATGAAGTTAAAAGAGCCAAACAAGATAATCAAAAACTGACACTGGGTCATTTATCCCATCAAGATCCTGAAGAATCTGGTGGCCTCTTGGCAACGCCTGAAAGCCACTACCACTGAGCAGACTTCAGAGCTGCTGAGCTTGCAGAACACCCCATGGATCACACACAGTGCCTCCCACAAGCCCCGTGAAGAACACATGGATATCAATATAACCACAAACCAGCAGTGGCTGCCCAGCATCACAAACCATCAAAGATAGGAAGAAACATCATTACTTACTATAAGCCAACTCGTCCCCAGCTCTCTTCCGGGACTGGTCACCTCTAGGGATAACAAAAGAAGAGGCAGTAAAGAGAACTGACTAATCTCTTCACATACCAAAACAGCAGAAGTGAATCAATATAACTGATAGCGGAAGTATAAGAAGTATTTCAGTTCTCACCCAACCACGTATTTTAAAATAGATACAGATACAAGCTGAGTCATTTGTAACTTGAATATTCTTAGCTAAAGGGTATCGCCTCAAATATAGAAAGTTATTAAATGAAGGATCACCTGTAAGGACAATTTACATTGAGCTCAAGAAATTACCTCGTACTGAAAATATATCTTGAAAGAAAATCTTGAGCTCTGCTATCAACATGCCTAGTGACCTGCACATACTAAGGCAAATTTCAAATACTAAAGAGAGAAGAAAATGGGGCCGGGGATTTAGCTCAGTGGTTCCACCGCTTGCCTCGAAAGTGCATGGTCCAGAGTTCGATCCCTGGTACCAAAAAAAGAAAAAATCTTCCCCTAAAAGCCCTCCTGAAACCAAAAACTCTTAAAGCCTTTGAAAACTGTCAGAACCTTAATGTATCTTAAGATCCTTTTTATAGGGGGGAAAACATGAACCTTTAACGTGTATTAACCAGCTCATCTTCAAACACCCACAGAAGTTTAGTTCCACTTTGCAGTTAAGAAAATACAGGCTCTGATTAAGCACTATGCTGCCCGTGAATCCTATTTGTATCTGTCCAGGTTCTCAGACAGTAATCCGGACAAATGACTAAAATGCTGAAGTAATGAGTAATAAAGACCAGCTGCTCCTTCCTCAGTCTCTGGACAGCATTTATATGGTTGATCTCGTCCTTCCTGAAACACTTTTCTTTGCTTTAGCTTCTGACCTTCCTTCTACTCCATTTGCTACTCCTTTGTTGATCACTGTTGTTCATCCCAACAATCTGTCCTAGGCCATCTACTCTTCATATACATTCTTTCTTAGTCTAGGCAGTCAAAACATAAACTGAGAAATATATCTATTTTATTTTGGACTAAGAATCAATTTCTCAGCCTGATGTGGTGCCACATACCTGTCATCCCAGCAGCCTGGGAGGCTAAGACACAAGAGTAGCCCAAGTTCAAGCCCAGCCTGGGCAACATAGTCACTTAATGAGACTCTGTCTCATAATGAAAAAAATTTTTAAAAGGCTAGGGATGCAACTCAGGTGCAAAGGTCTTGGGTTCAATCCCCAGTACCACTACCACAAGAAAAAAAGAACTTTACTACAGAAAGAACTCCTAGAAATGTGGGGCGGGGGGGGTTGACAACTAATGGAGAAATGAGCAAAGGACATAAATGGGCAGTTTGCAGAAAAAGATATGCAAACTATGAAAACATGCCAAGCTTTATTTATAACAAGAGAAATGCAGGGGCCAGGGATTTAGCTCAGTGTTTCCGCCGCCTGCCTCGCAAGCGCAAGGTCCTGAGTTCGATCCCCAGTACCAAAAAGAAAAAAAAAGAGAGAAAAATGCAAACTAATACAAATCTAAGTAATTATTTTTCACCTGCTAGACTGGAAAAATTCTCAAATGTAACACTGTACAATACAAACATGGTCATGAGGAACAACCCCTTTCAAACTCTGCTGGTGGCTATGCAAAATGGAACCTCTCCTATGGAGGGTATTTTGGTAATGTTCATCACATTTATAAGCACATTTACTCTTGACCCAGCCATCCTGTTTCTGAGAATTTACCTTGTAGATATATACCCGATAGATATAAAATTATAGGGTGGATTAGGTTCTCCACTGTCTATAATATCAAAAGACTAGAAAACTTCAAATGGCCACTACTGGGGACTGCTTAAATAAGTTCTAATGCATCTAACATATCCACACAATGGAATATGTGAAAAAGGAATAAAAATGAGGACATATTTTGTTTCTTGTATTGGCACACACACACACACAGGAGGGAATCACATGAGACTAATAATAACGATTACTTACTGGTACAGGGCAGAAAGGAGGCAAGTGAGAGCAAAATTTCTCATTAGATACTCTGTATCATTTTCATTAGTGAATCATATTGACATATTAGCCTTCAAAAACAGATCAGTAAAATTAATATAGCATTAAATAACAACCTCGTTCTGTGCATGAAAATAATATCACTCAGTTTCTACTAGAAATATTACAATCAACGTCAGGAAATACCTGATTCAACATGAAGGAATAAAGCTAACTGTGTATATTCCAGCATTTCCTGCTGAGGACTCCTTGCCCCAGCCAAAAGAAAGGAAGGTCTACACAGCCTATCTACACAGCTACTCTGAGTCTTCACAGTGTGAGATGACCAGTGGGTTATTCAGTGCACCCGTTACCCATGACAACAGATCCCAGGAGGATAAAAAAGGGAATAAATCCCAATCCATGCACTAATAAAGAACAAGAAAAATTACCTTTCTTCCTCAACTTTGCTGAAACAGACTTAGTAACAGTGATCCCGGTGTCAAGGCTAGTTTTACTGAAATTTAGTTTGGCCTCAGAACCTTAGAAAAAGAAATGTCTACCTCTACCCTAACCAGAGAAGTGAGTCAACACTCAATCTACTATTGTGGACACAACTACGACTGAAATATCCCAGGTATCTTTTTTTTTACAACTTTTCTTTAATGTAAGAAATTCAAATACAAGACATGTAAAGCCATTTTACAAATCCACCAGCAGAGTTATTGGCCTTGCTTACAATAGTTATGTTACAAATCTAGTCTTCTACCAAGCTAACAGGTAAAAACGAATCACTCAGAACTGGTTTAGTTTGCAGTTCTCTTATTAGGAGTAAAGACATCCCAAGAATAAGAAGTATGAAAATTTAACGTACTGCTATGCCCATACATAAGTGATCTAGTGATATAACCAAGTGTTTCCCCACAAGGATTCACAAACATTTTATTTTAATTTATTTTGGTTGAAACAATGCACTTTGTAAGATTTTTTGGGTTATAGCCATGATGATGAATTGCAAAAATTTTAGAAAAATAAGCAAAGTGTATACACTAAAAGCAAGGGAGAAAAATTTTTTGGACATGTATAAAAAGACATTTTGGGCCAGGGATTTAGCTCAGTGGTGCCACACCTGCCTCACAAGTGCAAGGTCCTGAGTTTGATCGCCGGTATCGAAAAAAAAGATATTCTGCTTTTTAAGAATAAGTAACTAAGAGAAAAGACAAAATGTAGAATTTAAAGTCTCTTTGCTAGTTTAGTCATAAAAGTACCTTATAATTAATCATAAAATTTCTACAATATTTTTCTATACATTCAGGACTAACAGGAGAGAATCAAGTTGAAGAGCTCTTGGAGGTTGCCCAACATAACTGTTCACCAGTGGGAAATTCCTTCTTCAAAACACCCCTGGCAAAGGGCAGCTTCCACAAGCTCAAACCTAGCTTCAATGTTAACGCAGTCGAGGGGCCAATGACCTCTCCAGAAAGCAGTACCTTGGCCCATGGACAACAACTTTTCCTTCTAAAAGAACCTCAGCACCTTTTCCTGCCATCCCCAAATGGCCAAGGAAAGGACATACGTTGTCACTAAGTGAAAAAGACAACTTGCCTTGTAAAACCATTCTGTATAAGTTCTCTTTGAAGTTTTTGATCTTGAGCAGCATATTCAGAAAGTTCAGATTCCATCGCCGGAGGGAGAATGTTTGGAATAAATTTAGAAAATAGAGTTGGAGCCATATGAACCCACTCTGTGAGGGAGGAAAAGGTACAATAAAGAAATCATACAGATAAATGGAAAAGACAGATTTTTCTTTTGTTTAAAGAACAAAAATATACATTAAGTCAAATTTAAATGGGGAAAAAACTACTTCAATCCCATTTTGTTAAAGAAATTTTTAAAAATAATCTCCTTACAGTATGAAGAAAACAGATATTTTTATTTTTTATAAATTTTTATAGAATGAATCCAGGGAATTCTAAATATGGAGCAAAACATCAATGGCATTACCAAAGAACTGTGGAAAAAAGAGGCTTAGTGAGACTATCAGTCCTATTAGCCATTAATTAAAACAATATAGTGGTCCAAGAATAGAAAACTAAGAGGTAATAATAATTAGACATAAAAAAGGAGGCTACACAAGAAAAGGGATAAGAAGGACTGAGAATTTAATACATGGGCTGGAGATAACTAGTTAATATGTTGAAAATCATCTTTATTGACCCATATTAAAGCACAACAGGGCTGAGGATGCAGCTCAGTGGTGCCATGCCTGCCTGGCAAGCACAAGGTCCTGAGTTCAATCCTCAGTGGCAGAAACTAAATAAATAAATTAAAATAAAGCATAACAAATTGAATACATAACATAAAAGAAAAATAAGTGGTTATCAAATTATTAAGAAAAACATCAAGAGAATAACCCACACAATAAAAAAGCAAAGAAGTCCCATGAAAATGTTTCCACCAGATATAACAAAAATGACAATATTTTACGACACAAATATTTGTACTAATCATAAGACAAGATGAATGAAAGACAAGAATGGATACCTCACAGGAAAAAAAATAAACAGAATCAAGTAATATTAATATTCAGAAAAATTTAAGCTACAATAAACATACCTCCTCCTCCTAGCAAACATTAAATATAAATAATGCCCACACATTCCAAGGACAGGGTGAAACCAGTATTCCCCTTTCTTGCTGGTGGGCCTCATGAGCACCGTTATCTCTTTTCAACCGTTTTAATCTAGCCTTCTCAAAATTCCCCTTTTATAAAACATTTTGGCTTTTTATATTAAAAACCATAAAAATGTCGATGCTGTTTAAGCCCCCTTTAAAAACTGCAATCTGAGCAAACACTTACTTCTAAATTGGAATGAGCCACATTTGCTACACAGTGCTGGGCCAATGCTAAGCAAACTGGGGAACTAAAACGATATCCACAAGAACAGCAAGTTCACGACGGCAAATAACCAAGCACTCAAATGTTACAAGGGCCAATCTACTCACTCTTGCACAAACTCATGGCAAAATGTTCTCAATAGGGTCTTCCTGCCAACCCAGCTCAAATACAGCTTTAGGAAGAATCTCAGTGCAGTGTTCTGGGAACCACTAATTAATAAGTCAGACTTCCTAGAGACCAAATCTTTCTGCCACTTTTTGGAACTTCAAGTAATCACTAAAATACTCATGAAGAAACAAACAAACAACAACAAAAAAAAGGGTGTGTAAAAAAGGCAGAGTAAGATTGAGCTTCTAAAGACCAGATGTTAACATAGCAACAGAATCTCCAACAATTAGGGCCCAAAAGTTTATAGCTAAAAATGTTCCAAGTGATTCAGATGCAAGTGTATGACAACCAGCACTTACGAAGACCTGTTGTGGAAGAAACTTTAACATTTAAAATTCAACTTTTAAAATGTTCTAACCTTAATCTGCTAGGTGAATACAACTGCTTTAACCAACCAGGAACATAACAGGTTCTGGCATGATATGTAAATATCAAAATGTTTAATAAAAAGACCTCTGAAAATGCCTGTGGCAGAAAAAAGTTAGTGTGCAGTAAAACTCACCTTCTGAAAAGGACATATCTCAAGTACAGAATTCTCCTCACAAGCAGTATAAATCCTATCACAAGAACCTGGACAAAATAGCGTTTAGATAAACATGCATCTACAATTTTTTCCACCCGTGGTGATTAGTTTTGTTCTGGAACTTTGCTACTCATGATAAAAGCCAGGGCTGATAAAGACTCACTCAGGAGGCAGAATCTGTCGTACTGCACTTGAAAGCCTTCCAATATAAAAGAAGAAAAATATCATTCCTAACCTACACACAAAAAATTGCCTGAGCCACACATCACACTGCAGTAAAATGACATTCAAAAGACTGAAAAATTAGAAAAAGAAAAATATCAGTTTACTGGGACGCATGCAATAAAATATTTTTGCCACTTTATATAAACATTTTACTTTATACGAGTAATTCCTCTTAAAAATCATGAAGAGGAGCGCTCAAGATCTGATTCAAATTAACTAACAGCCAGGTGTGGTGGCACACGCTTATAATCCCAGCACTTGGGAGGCTGAGGAAGGAGGACTGCCACAACTTTGAGGCTAGTCTGCCCTACATAGTGAATTTAAGGCCAGCCTGGACTACTCAGCAAGACCCTGCCTCCATCAATCAATCCATCAATAAAGTAACCTGAGAAAGAAGGTATTTCTGAAATCAGTCTACCCGATACTAGTGTTTGCAATTAACTTCCATTTTAGCAAACTAAATTCTGACATGTCTTTCAAGCTAATTAATTCAATCAAGCCATCAATTAATTAAAATAAAATAACCATTAAATGCAAATGAATAACAATGGCAGTTAATGTTCGCATGCTTATTATGTTATGAGGTACTATATTAAGCTCTTTGTATCATGTTTTATTTCATTTTAATCCTCAAACAAAAGAATTTCATAGAAAGGTAATTACTATCAAAAAGACAGCTTGTGGGTATGACTGCAGAACAATGTTCTACTCTGAGAACTACTGCAATCTCTCCCCCATGGGCATTTTGTACCTGGCTAGCTGACACTATGACAAGTTGGAGGTTCTGGCTTACAAGCAGGAAAATATCTACAAACACACCCCAGCATTTCTTTAAATCTACAATGTTTCTATTCTAAGATAGATACAGTAAGATAATTTACAAGCCATGACTTTTAATACAATACTTTCTATTCTGCTCTTCTGATAATATATCTTCCGGAAACATCCTCATGAAATGACTAACTGTACCAACACTTCTAGATTACTTGCCTGTTACACAATAGGCCTAAGATGGTAAGAGCTGCCAATGTGTATGACTTCTTATCTGTAGTGTGGAGTGGTGAAGGAGAAACTCCATTAGTAACAAAGACGGTGATTAAACCAAGCATGAGCCTCAATCTTGTCTGAAGAGTATTCTGTAATTATTTCTTGTATTTCCCCTCACAGGAGATACAAAATTCAAACTAACTGATTTTCATCTCACTAGTACAAAAAGAGTTACAAGTGAGCTCTGAGTTTGCATTTCACACTGATCAATAATTATTCTTTTTTTTTGCTATAGCAAATCTAAATCCATTCGGTTTCAAGACTCATAAGAACCGCAGCCCTCTTGGACGAGGCTGTCACACAAATAAGCAAACAAGTCTGAGCCCAACAGAAACGACGGATTTTTACCTGGTCTGAGAGTATACAAGCCTTTCACGACGTTTGCCATAGTTGAAGGTGTGACCTGAAATGGTGTTGCCTGGGCTTCTAAAAGTAAAGCTGAAAGAAGAAGAAAGTAAAACAGGGTGTAACACTTCCTGACTGTCAAGGCTTCCCTTCTTATTATCTCTCTGAAAGACTAAAGGGCAAACAAGTACAAGAAAAATCAGTCCAAGAGGACAAATTGAGAGTTTTATAAACTAAGGGTTAAAAAAAATGCAGTAACTTAATTCAGTAGGTAAATATTTAATTATGGTCAGCTGGAACACTAATGGAAATGAATCAACTCATGGAGGTCCTGAAAAGAAGTCAATTTTTCTAAAAGCAATAGTAACTGTGGCACTTAGTATGTAAAAGTACTTCCATTATATCTGGAAACTAGATGGAGACAGAAGAGGTCTGACAACTTGTGTTTCACTCTAAATTCTGTATTCTCTACGTGGCACCACCGAACCGCTGATCATATATGCACTGGTACTAATAAACTGTTGTTCTAAGTAGCAGTTTTCTTCTAAGTCATGTAGTAAAGAAACAAGGATCTTCCAAAAATCCCACTAATCAAGAAGTCAATAAATCACAGTTTTAAAACTAGAGAACTCTAGTAATTTCTAGACTGAGCTCTCTCTTTAGGAATTACGGTGTTAAAGTCTAGAGGGGTTAAATGCCTTCCTGGGTCCCAACCTCCTCTGCTCTTTCCAGTGTTCCTCGGTGCTGCAAGCTTCCCTTGTGGCATCTGCCTTTTTATGAATTTATTCTAAAAATGAAAACTAAAATTCCAGTTTATTTTACAAGCATGTAAGTATGAAAATGACTATACCATGGAGCTGACAGAGAACTGGCCTCATCTGCAGTGAGCAGTCACTGTCTTCATACATGAAGGACACTCATTGTGAATACCAAGTACTAAATTATTTTTCAGCAGAGGGTGTTCGTTTGCCTTGCTTCACTGCTTTAAGACATGGTCCCCTCATTTCCTGACACACCTCCCATCAAGAGGTGGGGTCTGTGTCCTATACCCCAGGAGTCTAGGCTCTGTGACCGCTTGCTGAAGGGATACAGCAAAAGTGACAACAGTGACAGTTTCTGGGCTCAGGACTTAAGAAACTGGCAGTTTCCATTTCTTGTATCTTGTGACTTTTACTTAGAGGAGACAGGAGAGAATCCAAAAGCCATACCAAATTAGCGGCTGTGTAAGTCAGCTATTTGGAAAGCCCCAGCCCCTGTTGAGGCTTATCAGCCAGTGCTGAGCAGAGCAGGGACAAACTGTCCCACATTAAGTACCCTCCACAAGTTAAAGAGCAAAATGAAAGACTGCTGTTGTTTTAAGCCACTAAGTTCCTGCATGATTTGTTATATGTTGTATATAACAGAATATTAACATTTCCAAATGTATCTGAAGCCAAAAGGAAGCTCCTGATCAAATTTTAGAACACAGAAATTGAGTATAGTTAGGGTGTTTTGTTAGAGCATGCAGGTGACAGTAAAATGTGCGACTAAAGATTTCAATCCTTAATAGCAGTGTTATTCTGTTTAAATTAATTTTAATCTCTCTTTGCCTTAGCTTCTGTGGTAATGACTGTACCTATCCTACAGGGTTATGAGAACTAAATAAGCTAATATTTGTAAAGTATCTGGAACAGGTCCTACTACACATAAACAGTATGTGGGTGTTTTCAAAAATCTCTTTGATGATTATGAATATAACATTATTAAACATTTAGAGTCCCTTGGAACCCAAACCAGTATGACTAGTGATCACTTTTAATTAATCTCTCTTATTCTAAGTCCAATGCCTGGTAACTGTCCAGTACATATATAATAAATTTAGTTTTATCCAATTTACAAAAGCTTGATGGCTTTTTCAGTTTATTTTGAACAGGTATATCTACCTATCTTTAAGTCTCATTTGTATTGAAAACCAGATTGTATAATAAACAAAAGTAATTTGTTAATGCTTTTTCTCTCACCAAATCAGTATTTTATTCTCTTTTGAATATTTTTTCCATATGCCCAATAAAATTCACTTCCAAATTCCTAGCAAGTTTAAAAACATATTTACAAAGAAAATAAGCTTTTGTATCAGATGGTAGCATTTCTCCATAGAATTTTTTGTTTGTTCGTTTTTTGGGTTTTTTTGGTACCAGGGATCGAACTCAGGACCTTGAGCTTTCGAGGCAGGCAGCGGCACCACTAAGCTAAATCCCTGACCCCATTAAAAAATTAATTTAAAATAAACTTTCACCAAGTATTTCACCAAAATGTTGTGGTACATTTTGCAACAAAGAGAAGACAATGTCAACAACAGAAAAAATGGCTATAATTAACAGCTACACTATCTCATGAGATAACATTCAAAGATGTCTGTAAACATTTGTGTAGCGTTAAAAATATATATATGCTCAAGATTCTGGGTCTCTATTTTAGATTATGGAATCCCTTGAGAACATAATAATAATAAAATATGTATTATCTTCATCTAGAATCTTATCTGAAAATCCTGCCTTTCTAAAATAAACTGGCCCAATGTTTAAAAACTCCAGCTCTTAATTTAAAATTAAAAAATGGAAAAAACGAGTTTATGGTCAAGCATAGAAAAATTCTTTTGTAAGTTCACTACGGTAACAGTAATTAGGATTAACAGGAAAGCAACACAATACATACTGCAAATTCAACTATATACCAATTCTTTGAAAAGGCCTTGGTGTGTGTATATACTTCATAGAAGATGAGCTTTTAAAGGGTGCTGAGACAGTAAGCCTGGGGCGTCCTAAACTCCAGCTGGAGAGGCAAATCCTTTTAGGAAAGGCAGCATGAGGTGCTACGCACTGTGAGGGGCAGACAACCTGGGAATGGGGAGAGAAGAAAAACTAACTGGACATTGCATTGCGTAATCATCTGCAAAGCCATGTTAAGTTTTTTATAAGTCCTAACTCACAGAAGAGAAAATGCAGGACCACAAGAGGCTAAGAAACTTACCTAACACCTTCTACTAACGACTTCCCCTTTGTGTCTCTCTCTGTTAAATGGGGTAGACTTCAACACTTCCTGGTATCTAGTTCAGATGTCAACACTAGGGTTTATATGACAATGCTGGAGGTGGTTTGCTAGTAGTGGCCTCTTACTTCCACAATAAGCTGAATGACCAAATTACTTACGCATTAGGCTGTAAATGTGCTTTTCTGCAACATGTTCCGTAAATAGCTTTATAAGGTCATCTTTTAAATCTCTGTTAAGCTTGGTTTCGATGTAAAACTTATTCTGAAAAAGAAAAATTTTTAAGCATCAATTGGAGAAAATGATTAGTCTCATGAACTAAAATATTAAACATGATTTTAGCAAATAATGCACACTGATTACAAAAACAAACCAAGATCAAACAACAAGAGCCCTAGTACATATCTTACTGGCATGAGATTGCAAGAGCAAGATAAAATGCTATGAACTATAACTTAACATTGCTGTAGAGACTTTACAGAAACACACTGTGTGACGTGCTCTTTTAAATATCTTTATCATGGCCGGGGATTTAGCTTGTTGGCAACATGCCTGCCTTGCAAGCACAAGTCCTGAGTTGAATCCTCAGTCCTGAGAGAGGGGAAAAAAAAAATCTTTATCAGCCAATGGTGATGGTGCACACCTGAAATCCCAGCTCTCTAACAGGCTGAAGTGGGAGGATCTCAAATTCAAGCCCAGCCCAGGCAACTCTGCAAGTCCCTGTCTCAGAATAAAAAATGAAACAAGGGTCAGAGATGAAGCTCAGTGTTGAGGTACTGGGTTCAATACTCCATACCAAGGGAGAAAGTCCTGTATCACCATCTAAAGACAACACCAGGAGAAAGGCAGCCCTTTCATGATCTATGTGAAAAGCAGGGAGTAAACGTATTGGTGACCCCACCACACATTCCACTTCAGTGATTAGCCCAAGTCATTCCCTGGAGACCATCTGTGCTTCAGAGGGAGACAGCAAAGGTGGCTTAAATTAGACTGAGAAAAGGCCAGGATTGGGGGTTGGGGGAGTTCCTTAGTCATCCTATAACCACAGGAGGACTGTATGTGGTGGACAGCAAGATACAGAAAAGAGCCACTGATTCAAACAACACCTGGAGACTGCTTTGTTTCTGCAGTTCTATTGCAGGACATAACACTTTTCCTTATTTACTCAAATCACTTTGAATCCAGTTTTCTGTTTCCTGCAGCCCAACCATCCTGACTAGAATGACTAGCAAGCCAAAAATGATCAAATCTGTTTATGTATAAATGTTTATGTATAAAAGCAGAAGACTCAAAGATTAATGTTAACAAATTACCGATTCTCCCTTAATATTTTCTCTCTTTAAAATATTTAATGAGATGCATATGATTAAAAAATAAAAACATAAAACAAAGGGTATGCAATATAAAGTTTTCCCTTGCAGATCCTCTGTCTTATTATAGATAGCTACAGTTATTTCTTTTTTTTTGTTTTAAGTTATTTTTTTTTCCCATTAAGTTTATTGGTACATTTTCGGTATAAAATACAGTTACATTCATCATTGGGATCTTGTACCTTTACATGAGTATCTTGGTTATTTTTTTCCCCTTCGCTTGCCCT